GGTACACAGAGAGGCCATGGTGTAAAGGAATACAGTGGGGGAGAACTACAGAGGACACTCAGTGCTGTGCTCTGGTAAATACCACACACACACACACACACACACACACGTGTGCACATACACACACGTGTGCACATACACACACACCACATGTACATAAAGCAGTCCAATCATGTGCTATATGTTTTTTATAGCTTGTTCTTATACGCTGTCATGAACCATATATCAGTGTTTCAGTCAGTGACGAGTATGCAATACATGTATAATAGTGGTCCTATAGGATTAGAACAAAACTGAGAAGACCCCTGTCACCCTGTACCAACATGGCGGCCATCTCAGGGCTTGGTACAATGCATCACTCACCTGTCTGTGGTACAGCTACATAAACAGACATGCTGTGCAGCCAGCCGTGTAAGAGTTCATCATGTGCAGTGTGGTAGGAATGAGCATGCTTCTGGTTTACTAGCCTGCAATTTTAATTATTATTTTATCATCTATTCCTTTTCAAATTTTTTCCTGCAATGGGTGTATCAATTCAATTACAACAAAAATGTAAACCATAAATCCATGTAATAATTTTTTTCTGCAGCCTCATACAAGCAAGTATGGCTTTAGAAACAGAGGGCAGCAAAGATGTATTCGTAACAGATGCAGAGCAGACGTGAATTGCTAGGGGGTATCAAGCCACTTATTCCAGTGAGTAGGTGCATGGAGTGTCCTTACCTGAGTGCCTTCCAGGAGAAGACACGCAGTGCACACACACCCTGAAGTGCTTCTTGTAAGCATTTCCATGGATTGGGTGTGATGGACAGGGATGGATTATGGCCCTCGGGAGCCAAAGAATACTGAGTGTTACAGCTCAGATGGTACTCCGGCAGTGGGGAGCCAGGGAATACCACAGGTCACAGAAGGGCATAGCAGCCTACAGCCGTGCTTCAGGGAGAGGCTTCCCCAGTGTTTCAGCTCTGCTCCAGCAGGAGAGGGTCTCCCTGGTGAGGTTGTTGCAGTTCAGCTCCATTGCCGGAAGAGTGTGACAACTCCAGTTTCCCAGGGGAAGTTTTACCCCAATCAAAAGTGTTACAGTCCTGTTCTGCTCTGCTCTGCCCAGGGTTGTCTCTGCTCCAGGGAAAGAAGGTCTCACTCAAACCTCATTCAAGAGATTTACTGGGAGGGAAGTGGTTGCCCTCTGCCAGGGTGGCAGAGGACAGCTGGGCAGCATGAACAGCCACAAGTTGAACAGACACAGGGTTTATATAGAGTTTTCCAGGGTGGGTATTGGTTATATTTCAGTCCCTGAGTTTAGGATGACTAGATCTCCTGCTCAGGAATTGGTTAGTTTTCTGCACAAGGTTAGGATCAGATTTGGCTCTGGTTTCAGAGACAAAGTGTGTTTCTTTCTCTGGTCCTTTTTAGCCTTTTGACTCTAGTTTTAGGGCCAGGGTGCATTTCTTTCACTGACTTTGATTCCAGGGTCAAAGTGTGTTTCTTTGGCTCTGCTCAAGGTGTGTTTCTTTGGCTGGACCCTTTTCCTTATACTTCTGGCGACAGGAACATGTCTATCGAGGGACTAAACAGCCTATGGCTGTTTATTGTAAAACAAAATGCCATTTATGCCATCAGCAGCCTTGCACAGATGTTTACTATAACTCTTGACTGCACAAAGAGATCATGTGACATGACTGATCCATATATGCCATTTATGCTTGTGTAAATACGCGCTGTGATGACAAAACATGCCCCCCATTTCTTTTCTCAGAATGTATTATCCCTGCCATTATGTGATGCATGACTGTAGATCAGTTGACTGCAATTCATGTGTCACACACAGCCCGATAAGCGTCAATGATCTAATTAACAAGATTGTAGGGGGTGGGTGGCAAGTTTGAACTTTGTAAGGCAGGCTTGACACCTGGAAACTCTCAGACAGAGGATATTCCTATGGTCATGAGTCAGAATTTCTTCTCCCCAAAGAAACGTTATTTTCTCTTTAGTCTTTTCAAGTGGTTGAATGAGAACCATTCACATTGTCAAATAGAATGTACTCTCTTCGAAGCTGTTATTGTAATTCTTAAGCTATGTCTAAAGTTTCTCTACAGCAATGCCTGCATTAGTGTTTGGTTGAATAAGGAGGCAAAGCAGCCTTGTAAAGCTGACATAAGCCAACTGTTACTCCAGAACTTAGTTGCCTTGTCTGACATGGTAGCTCTTACTGAGCAGTTTAAACATTGCTTGTGCTAGAAGGACAAAATCTGTGCCAAGTCCAGAAGTCATACTACAAATAAGAAAGAACGTAAAAGATCTCATTAATATTTTATAATGGCTATGTGGCAAAGTGACAGTGTTTTGGGTAGGTTACATAAATTTCAATGACTGAAATATTTTCACTGTTTCATTGTCCTTACATGTGTGTTTCATTGTCCTTACATGTGTGTACTAAAATTTTTAACATGAATATATAGTATGTTTCTTTTTAATGCTGCATTTATAGCCTCTATATGTTCTGTAATCTAGAAATCAGACTCTAGAAGATTTAACTAGGGCTGAATTTCCCCAGTGAGCTGATGTTATAGATGGTATCTATTATGCACTTCATTTGACAGTGGCAAGCATTACCCTGAGTCCTGCCAGCTGTTTAGATGGCAGCCACTAGCTTGCAGGAATGACTTTTAGATAAAATTACATTTTTTGGTCCTTTGGTCAGGCAGCATGTTGTGTCATTATTTTTTGCCACGGTTTCTCATCAACAGTTTGTCTAATGAATTTTAATAGTAAATTCTAACAATTGGCACACATTGTTTCCTGAAGCAAGTTATCCAGCCCCTGCTGGACTGACTATACCTGGAGTTCTAGGGGTATGAATTCGGTTCCTAACTTTTGTGTGGCAACAAGCACTTCGCCTGCTGAGTCATTTCCCCAGCCCCACTAAGAGTCATTTTATTAGTGTTTGCAGGACAAACCATAGGCCAGGCGAGCTACAAACCTTGGCAGCTTCCAGGGTGAAAGAGATGGAGAAGATGGAAACAAAGTCCTGCCATTGAGTTGGGAGCAGCAATGGGGCTCTGCAAGCTGAAAGCCGTGGGAAAGCTCGGTGTCAGGGCAAGCGCTCTAGGATTTAGGCTGGTGTTCAAAGAAGACAGAGAAAGGGGAAAGAAAGTTACATCTTTGTGTTAGAACACAGGAAAGAGGACGGGCTTGGCAATGATGTGTAAGTAACTACACCAGTGGAGGGACCTCTGGTGTGTGTAAGAACATTATCCCATGTAAGGGGTAAGTTTCCCTTCTGTGGCCTTACCGTGTGTTCAAGCAGATCAGTCTACCTGAGAGGTCTTCTAGCCAGGAGACAGACCAGCCCAGACGATTAATTCTTATTGGAGGGACAATAATAGGTAGCGTCCTAATGTTCGGGGCAGATCAGAATGCCACATTACTAGCTAGAGCCGAAGGTAGAGCTCAGAATCCAATAGAAAATTAACTCTTATCAAAGTTATCTTTATCTGCTCTAGACCTCGTTGCTTGTTTAGGCTTAATTGGGCTTAAATTCAAACCTAGGTCTTTCTCCTTCCTCTCAATGCCCTATCTCAAAAAAAAAAAAAAAAAAAAAAAAACGGTACCGATTTGGGAGCTGAGGTGGAAGGTGCCTTGTTCATGTGGGACTTGCCGATGAAGACATCTGACACTGCGGTTTCAATACATCCCACAGGAAAACAAAACATGCACCTTCCACTCGGCCACCAGGTATTTGCAGACTATGCTGCATCAATGCTGTGGCAGAGAGGAACTGCCAGGAACGACAGTCCGTAACCTCTACTGACACCTGCTGGGACACAGTGTAGGATGCTGTCACCCTGTCCAGAGGCCCTGGAAGGTACAAGAGCATCTCTTCTTTGTTCCTCTCATTTCCCTGTAATGCTGGCTTCTCTTTGAAATGGTTTGTCTTCCATCCAATCCAATAAGTACCACTGGTTTTGATGTACAAGGCCAATTAAAAAAAACCCTACAACTCTGTGTTAATGTTTCCAAATTTATTTTTCTGAAAGTGAGATGACATTTGCTACTTTGTACCTTAGCACATGCCCTTTCCTACCTCTGAGATTTTGCTAGTATGTTCCTTTGGCACAGAATGGAACACTCCCACACCCCTACTTACCAGGAGCTATAAGAAAACTAGAGGGAGCTATAATTCTCTTTGCTGTCTAGCTACATTTCACATTTGTATTCATATTTTATAAACATACACTAGGTATATCAGTTACCAAAGTTTAATCTCTTTTATCTGAACTAGATTGCATACGTTTTGGAAGGAGACTCACTTTATGGGTCATAATTTTTTTTTTGTTTTTACGAGACAGGGTTTCTCTGTATTGTTTTGGAGGCTGTCCTGGAACTCACTCTGTAGAACAGGGTGGCCTCGAACTCACAGAGATCCACCTGCCTCTGCCTCCAGAGTGCTGGGATTAAAGCTGTGCACCACCACCGCCCGGCTAATTTTGTTTTTTTTAAACAATATTTTTTATTAATTCTTTGAGAATGTCATACAATATATTCTGAACATATTCACCCCTCCACCCACTCCTCTCATAACTACCCTCTCCACCTAATTTTAAGTTCTCTTATTGTCCTCCCAAGGAGTTCAATATGTGCAATCCAACTAGTCCTTCCCTGGTTTGTGATGAACCTACCAGGGGTCACAGCATTAGTGAAAACTGACTGTCCCTCTTCCAGCAGATATCAGAGGCCAGAAGTTCCTCAGCGAGAGGTGGGATGCCACGCTCACCTTCCCTCTCCATGCTGAGATCTTTCGCGGGTCTCGTGCACACAGTCACAGTCACTGTGAGCTCCTGTGTGCAGCTGCCCAGCCGTATCCAGAAAGCTCTGCTTCCTAGATGTCATGCTCCACCTCTGGCTCTGACAATCATTCTGTCTCCTCCCCCAAGGCTCTTGAGCACTGGGGGAAGAAACACGGTTATGTAGATCACACTTATGACTGAGCACTCCACATTCTGCACACTGGGACAAGCTGGGAATGGGTTGCCTCCTTTCGAGTTATTGATAGCTTTAGTTTTTCCCCCAGTAAATATTTTGGAGTGAAAACTCAGGACACAACAGGAGTGACAAACATGAACTGCTGGATACGCAGAGAGCACAGGAATCATCTTTGTCTGTTTCTTCCTCGTTGTACAGGTTCGTGGTGTCTAAGCTCCGGGCTTCTCTTGAAAGCTTATTATCATCTGTTTCTATTTGTTCCTTGTATGTATTTCCACAGGACTGTGTCCAGTCTTAGCCAAGCTTTTCTATGAACCTTCTCGTCTAAAAATAGCCTCCTCTGAATTTCCCTGGCATCCTTATGCACGATGATCTCTTTCTGCCACGTCTAGTGTGTTTGCGATGGTTCTTTCCACTCAGGCTCCAATGGCCTGAGTCTCTAAACACCCTTCTAGTGGCCTCAAATGCTGTTGCCTGCTTTATCTCACCTCTTATTAGACAAGCGCAAAGCTGTCTTCCAGAATTGAAGGATTGGCTCACTTCTCTTTGTTTCAGGTGATCTTTCCACTTTTTTATTTTTTAAGAAGACTTAGGTTTTTTTTTTTCATGAGCTCTTCTTGAGGTCAAGCATTCAAAGTTCTAGGCAGCCTTGTTAGTCTCTTGCAGAGGCAGGGGTCACCCTCTCCCCTTCATAATTTCAACTTGAATCCAGTTCTATTATTTGTTGGAACGTCTGCCTTACCTAAATTACAATATCCTTATGAGCAACTGAGTCTTGTTAATATGGGCACTTGTACTGGCTGCCTAGTAGGTCTTAAAAACGTTAGCTGAATGAATGAGATGAATCATTTTTCTCCACCTATAGCTACTGAACCGTGCTCAGGGAAAAAAAAAGTCCCATGATCAGCCTAGCCAGTATGTTCTTTCTGTAGCCGGCCCTGGAAAGGGCACCATGACCTTGGCAGAGTTGTGTCATGTATTAAGTAGGAAATCAGCTACTTTCCTATTTTTGTAAGACTCTGGCCGAAGGAAAAAAAGTCTGTGTGTGGTGAAGGCAGCAGATGAAAAGACCTTCTGTGAAGGGAGTGTTCCTCTCTCATGTCTCACTCAGAGGCGGTGTCTGCGGAATGAAACACTCACCAGAGGAGGGGCTAAAGCAGGTCCTGCCCACACGGGCAAAGACAAGGAGACCATGGAAATCTTCATCTCGTGTCTGAACCTTCTGCTGAGTTGAGCAGGAAAGGCAATAAATGCACAACAGCTCATCCTGGGTAGCAATTCTTTCTACTACTTATTGAGAATAAGAACACAAGTTAATAACCCATTGAAACCATCATTTTCCCATGACAGTTCACATTTTAAGGATGAAGGATCTGAGGTCCAGAACAACTTAAGGTAACCTGGCCAAGATCCCACAACAATCACACACGGACTCTTGTTTTCAACTTAGTAATGCACTTCTAATTCATTATGCTAATAATATGAATACATTAAAAACTACATGGAAGAAAAGGGCGTGGCTGAAATAGTTGCATTGTGTTATGGTATCACAAACATAGTTTACCAGTGTGGGCGTGCTTGCAAAATTGCTGAACTTGCTATATCCTTACATAGTTAGCTTTGAAAGCAACTATTGTCTTGGTGGCTGAGTTATAAAGTGCGTGATTCTGCTTCTGGAAGGATCCTGGATCAATGGCAAAGGTAGTGAGTGCTCTGATATTTGCTAGTAAATCCCATGATTCTTCGTGCAGGTAGCTGTTAAGAACCGGGGAGAGTCTGGAATTTTACCTTCTTGCAATCTCACAAGCAACACCCACCGCGAATGCCGACGGAGGACACAGCGGTCCTGGGTTAGGACCAAGTGCTTACTTAGCAGTAGCTAGGCTATAAGAATTTGTACTAGTTTCCCAAACCTCAGTGGCCATGGGGTGACCAAAGAAGACCAGATGTTACCTGCACTCACAATGAAGTAGTATTACGGAGGGAAACCTCAGCTAAGGGAACTCTTCTAGTAGGCATTAAGATTGTGTAGCCTTTGCTCCAGAAAAAGAGATACTAATTCTATTTTCCAAAGCTGTCCACTGTACAGTCAGTCATACATGAATGTCTTCAAAGCTCTGAAGCCAAGAGTTTTTGGCCACGATGAGTGCAGAAACAAAGGACCCCATAGAGTGTTGCTCCCTGCTGGTCTTTCCTCCATTTCAGAATTGCGGTGGCTGCTGGAGTCGTCTGTGCATGAGTCGCTCCATTAGCCATCTAGTAATATAACACGCCGGAAGAGGTCACACAGCGTCTCATTAAGGCTACTGTTACCAGAATTTCAGGCAACGTGTTGGGGTCCCTCTAAAGTGGGGTCTCAGATACAGCTAATGGTGCCAATCCCATACAGCAGTACCGTCTTCTGAGGGAAGTGGAGTGGGTTTGTCCTTTGTATTTCTTGGCCTGGGGCATTGATGCAAGTGCAATGCAGTGTCTCAGAACCTGTACAGGCTCCAGTGAATTCATGTTCATCTAAAATCCTAATAGTGTTCTTGATAAGTGTAGCTAAGTCAGGAAAATATTTTGTGTTGCCTTTCAAACGGAGGGCTCCCATTATAAGGAAATAATAAGTCAGCGACAGCTCATCACAGTTGTCTAAGGACTAAAGAATCCATCAGTGGCATGTTTAAAAAACACTTCTGCGTCTCTTACAGCTACTTCTAAGCTATGTAGCATTGTAGTTTATGGAGGTTGTCTAATGCACACTTTGCACAATCCTGGGGAAGTAACTGGGGTTTACGGTCATCTGAGCCAAACATCAAGGCTACAGGTTAATGGTTCCTCCCCATAAGCACAGGATTCTACACTCGTTTAACGTAATGAAGTCGCAGGCTTCTTTTGGAGGAGATATTGTAGGTAAAGAGAGTTCTCCAATCTTCCTTATTTGCCTACAGCAACACCTGGGTGACATTCTTCCTGCCCATGGGATGAGAGAATGTCAGCTGTGGGGATGGATAGCTTTTGCATGGAAAGGATGGCAGATGTGGCTTCCCTTGGGCTGTTGTTGAGGTCTCTCAATATGACTAACAACAGCCCCCTGAATGTGGGTGTCAGTTTGGAGGTCTGGGCAATCTATGGGGCCTCCGGTAGTGGATCAGTATTTATCCTTAGTACACGAATGGACTCTGGTAGCCCTCTTCACATAGAGGGATACTTTCTCAGCCTATACACATGGGGAGGGTCTAGGCCCTGCTCCAAAGATATGACAGACTTTGATGATCCCACATGGAAGGCCTCACCTCCCTGGGGAGCAGAAAGGGAATGGGATAAGGCCTGGGAGAGCAAGGTGGAGGGAAGGGAGAGGGAACTGGGATTGACATGTAAAACAAGCTTGTTTCTAATTTAAATAAAAAATAACCAAACCCACCCCCCAAAAAAAGAAAAAGAAAGAAAACAAGATCCTATAGGAGGAAGTTTCTGTCCCGCCAGGTCCTGCTGCCGTTTAGTCCCAAATAAACACATAGAAGTTTATATTAATTATACAAAAAAAAAAAGAATTGTATGTTGCTCTAATTATAGAGAGAGCCATGTGAATGGTTTTTCTCCTCCAGGAAAGCTCCTGGGTGGATCTGACATAAATATTATGAGTGTCTTTCCTTCCTCTGTGCCTACTAAGAACTAAGGCACTCCTTCTCTGAGAGCCAGGGTGGTAGCTCTCACTCCACTGCCGTCACACCCTTATGCCCTGTTTTAGGAGCAGAAACTCTACTTTCAGAACAACCAACACTCACACCTACATCTTTATCGAGATTCCAATGTAAGACGGAGGAGACGTCTATATAAAACTTAGACAATTTACCCCTTTCTTTGTTCTTCATCAGCAAGCCAACAACAGTCTTTGAGATTGAGGGCCAGTCCCCAAGAGAACCATGTAGTCCTGACAGAAGTAAGTTTGAGTTCTTCAGAACACTTCTGGTCTGGCTGTCATCTGGAGGGTGGCCCAACCTGTCTGTCTTGAAGTTCCCTTAAGAGAGAAAGAAAGCTTGAAAATTTTCAAAACAGATTTACATAATCCCAGTGGTTTTATACAATCATTTCCCACGATGCAGCTGAGAGATGGATTCTTTCTAGAGCCAAAAGAGGAAAAAGAAATCATTTTAAAATTATTTTTATATATATTTTTATAAATATATATATCTTGTCAGTTCTGGGGATGTTGAAAACAATGGGTCCAGTCATAAAATGGTAAGACCTGCCATCAGGCTTTATCCCCAACTCTATTTCCCCTTTTTACTTTTAAAGCAAGATTCAAGTTGAATAGGCTTGATCTGAATTTCCACAGTAGCCGGGGCACAGAACATCAATCCTTCTGCATCAGGTTCTCTTGTAGCAAGGGTTTCAGGCCTGTGCGCACCAGGACCAGGTTGCCTTGGAGAAGGTCTCTCCAACGTTCTACACTGTAGAATGCTGTACTTCTCTATTAAGAGGAAGTATAAAAGCCCATTGAATACTTTAACAAGCTTCCCATTGTTCTGAGCATCTGTTGCTGGGTGGCTTTTGCTGTAAAGATGATACACATTTTAATGGATCAAAATGGATCAAAACCAAAAGTGGAAAACATTCATTTCAAGGGTTATAATGGTATGGTCAGCATTGGCTGATGGTCTTCTAATAATGACACCAAACAGTGTCGGTGGAGAAAAAGTGCGACTGATAGAGGAGGATGGAAGTCCCGACACGGCCTGTTGGGAGCAGGGTGGAGTATATGGCCTGCCGTGTCGTCTCATCTGTGACAAAGAGGTGAGCAGCAGTTACAGGTGTAGCCTGAAGCAGGAGTGTTGACAACAGAAGCCGTACTGTTTACTGCTTTCCTGTTCTGTGAGGTGGATGTGTTGGCTTGTCTGGCAAGATCAGAGCTCTGAGGAGGAGCATTCTGAGAGACACAGAAACTTGGTTCTGATTGGTCTTGTAAAATAACAGGTTCTTACTGTGGGCTTCTACACGGGTAGCCCAGATATTCAGATGAACAGTTACAATTTGTTTTCATATCCTCAGAGAAGAGATAGCCTATCGGCAATATTTCAAGACCCTGAAAAAGAAATAGAACAAGGTGCTTTAAAACGGATACTAGCTAAAGCGTTCCAAGGATGGGCTTGTATTCCTCCCTCTGAAGATGTTGATTACGTCTGCCCTTGGGTGCTGCATTGTTGACACTGAGG